TTTCTATACGCCCCAAACTTATCGAATTAGTCCTCGTAGCTTTAATTGGCCTGTGTTACGCGAACGTGCGACATTCTGTCGGTCGGATTTCGCATAAACGTGAGAAAGAGAAGACATCGCGTTTTTCGCAAAACCCTAAATATCATTTTATTCGCTCGATTCATGACAAATATATTAATTTCATATTTCTCATTACGCTCGAATTAAGAGCTTTGAATATAGATGATTATTTGTAATAATCATACCGGCGAATAATCAAAGAATAATCTGTGGTGTTTTGATGTTAAAAGCACTGCGCATTACTATTTTATGTAGTAACAATAATCCGTTGTTGTTGTTGCGGAACATATAAACTAAATTATCATTAATAGGTAATTTATAAATTGAATATCGATATTACATATTTAAAATGTCAGACATAATTTATATGATTTCTATAAAAAAAATTAATTTCTTGATTTTGTCCATTAATTATAATTCGCATAATATGATATCATAATTTAAATAATCTCAAGCGATTTCACCTGATTTTTTTTCTGAAGAAAATCTTTATGTTGATCTCCTGTTTATGTCTAAAATATTTTCAAAAGCAGTATTACATTGTACGTACATACATGAGAGATATACTTGCGCGAGCTTAAACGTTGTTGAATGCAAAACGTTGTTTGTTCGCACATTGTTCAATGTGTTAATCCTTCGAGACAGTGGTCTTTTATTAAGATAGTAATTTTTATTAATGGATTTATTAGAATCTCACTTTGCTAGACGTTGAGTGAGATATTTTTTATAAGTAATTTTACAATCTCATGTTATTTTATCAGAATTTCGTTGTTCATTATGTTACGTGACATTGCTTTATCGCGATAATGTCAATAAATCGATACCAGCAATCGACTCAGCGCGTGTTTATATTGGGCGTTCGATAGCGTGCATATGTTGTCTTCAATTTCCGCAAATCCCCGAAATCCGTAATATTACAATTAATGTGTAACGTGTAGTCTATATAACTAACTAATCTAATGTGCATCGTGAATGGCTTATTCACGAGATCTGGACGAAATAATATCCGCAATTTTACACGCATTTACTCACGTAATTACTAAATTGTGCGTGTACGTGCAATGTGTCTGCTACTGCGAAATTATTCAAAAATTAAACAAGTTAAACACATGTTTCACTTTATTTCTGAAGTACGATAGCTTACGGTCATTGCGGAAAAAGAGTAATTGTAACGCTCGCATGCAATAATTCGTGTCCTCAGTTTCTATATATATATATGTACGCGAGAGAAGAATGGCGGAATTAAATCTCTTGCGGTATATTACGAGGTAGATCCCTTTTGCAGAAAGTCATAAATCTCAATACAATTTCGCGATGAGTTGAGAACTTTACTTAAACGGTCCAAGCATAAAACTCGGTAACGGAAAGCATAGAAGAGGTTCTTCTAGACGAAATATTTCTTCCTCGCGTTACGCTCATGTATTAGACGATTATCTCTGTAGTATCGCATTATTTATATCGACATCGAAACTTTTGAGAGACTGTTTTTTAATCCGAACATAAATGTTTGACTATTAGACAAGCGGCGAGACTCATTTGTTGCAAGTTATCGCCGACGCTGTTACAAGTTACTCCCGTACTGTAATCGACAGTGAATCGAAGGCAACATATTTCGATATATCTTATCGATACGCTGATAGCCGCACTGTTCAATAGAAGAGTGTGTTATTGAAACCGTGATATGAAGGTGAATTGATAGGCTGTCACAAGCAACACGGAAAATGTACTATTTGTTGCTGAAACGTTTATTGTCCTCTATTAAGCGATAATTATTAACGTGCGGCGCGTAAAGCCGGTCCTTGTAAAAATTCGTTGATCATTCCTCTAACTAGAATATTTTTCTGCATACAAAATATTTTTTTACCGGGAGAATATGAGAGTTAAGGGATTAAACGCGATGACGCGAGTGCTGATTAATCAAGTTAATGTTGCGTAATCTCCGTTTTACTAATAGTTATTTCGGATATTGTTCGACCAATACATATATATTCGTCGTTTCTCGTTTTTTAATCTTGCCACGCACAATAAACATCGTAAAAGCACTAGTAGGTAACATTGTCTTATATCGTATAGAGAAAGGACAAGAGACTAATGCGACATCAATCGATATCAAAAGAAGTAATTGACAAATAATGCTTCGCCAATATTTGTAAATTGAAACAAATTTTTTTTACTTTGATATTAAATAATATTATAAATCCTTGTATTTACCAAATGTGTGAAGTTATCTCCGCTGGAATACAATCCAATATTTTTTCGCCCTAGTTTGGGGGGTGTAGAATTAACTCGTAAAAGAGACTTTGCGATTCGTCAAGAAGCCTAATGCAATTTACAATCGGGATCTAAATGTCTCTCGAGAAAATACAGCGCTCTGTGTTTTCTTTGCCGTGTTTTAGCGCTGAATGCGGCTTCTAAGCTTCATTTGTTTGTTAATATAAGGATTCGAGTTCAAAATTAATAAGATGAAGGAATCAGACACTATAACGAGGTGATTTATAGACACTATCCTACAATATAGATCTAAAAAAAAGACTTTTCTAAACTACAAAAATGAAGTATTCGCAAGTCTTAATAATAAAACTCCTCTTTGACAAAACCTTGTTTTTTCAAGCTTAATGAAACATTTAACGGAAATAAGCGAATAAGTGATAATGATATAACTAAATTAACAAGTTCGCAAACTTGGAATAAATCTAAGTACCATCTTGGATAAATATAAGTACATATATCTTTAAGAATCGAACGGCCGAATGCGTTTAGCGCTAAAAGGCGTGCCGAGAACGCGATCTGTTATCTCGTAATAACGTAATGGAATCAATAACTATTTTCCTCCGGCGATGTTACGATCGCGCGTATACCTTTGTAGGATTTAGGCCAGTCGTGTAGTAAAAGCGCTCGTAGTAAGCCATGTAGTCGAGTACTCCGTGCCAGGGGAGTACCCGTTGTAGGGATCTCTTTATTAAGTAAGGACATTAAGGTAGCCATTCTGTTTTTCTCTTCTTGTCGATAGGTATTATAGGCGGGGTCCACCTCAGGGTCGACCGCAGTCACGCGTGTAGATTAGCAATAGTGAGTCGTAGCGTAGCGATTATTTCGACGCACCTATTATTATAACCCTTCACAAGCGTATATGAGAGAGAATGGCCCTCTGGATTCAAAGCGTGGCGGAAGTATCACAGATACGTACCGTTCCCTGCATACCCCTCTCGTTCGGTCGTGAGTCCCTCGCCAAAGGTGATCGCCGAAGGGCCAATGGAGAGAAAAGGGTCGTATTTTTGTCTCGTTGAATGTTGGTCTTATCGATATGCGGGATGCTTCTTAACATGCGCTAAATATTTCAGGGATGATTCTGGAACTCCAATACATCAAGGATGGAATATCTACACGAACCGTTTTTATCCTTCTTTTTTATTCGATATGACAAAATATACGGATTACATCTAACGAAATATAAATATTTTGTTAAATGTGATACAACGTGATAGATGATCGCTCGACAACGGTTCGTATGCAATAACCAAAAGCGTAAATTGTTTTGATGAAAATTATGAACGGTAACACGGTGGAAAGAATAATAAAATTGTCCTCTCTTGTAGCAACGGCACGTGTTAAGAAGCACTTTGTAGTTATCATTATTAAACGTTTGAGAAAATTTATTTTTCTACTGCATACACATCGCGCGTCGCACCGTGTCGCACAACAGCGAGTATCTTTGTTTTGCGGAACGGCATCCCCTCGTGATTCTCACGATGATTTCCGAACTGCGGTTCGGGAAATCGAAGATTGTTAACACTAGAATACCCGGGGGTGGACAGTTTATTCACCAACGATCTCATTCAACTATAAGATTTAATGATGCACCTCGGGGAGAGATATTGTAAAGAGAACATGGATGCTTTTTAATTGTGAAATCATATTAGACACTTTCGTGCACGCGGTAACACAAGTGACAGCTGTGTTCCAATTGCCGTAATTATCTACACAACACTACACATCCGTATACAGCCCGAGGGCTACTAGTTGATGTAAACTTGTATTTTCTAAAATTATTAAATTGCTTATTAATTTAATATGTGATATTACGACTCTAATTTTATTCGTATGATTACGCTTCAAAAAAAAGATTTCGTCGCGCGGTTTGCAGAATTTGATATGTACATAAATTCATTCTAAAATATTTAAGTTCTGCTTTTTTTATTGAAAATAGGTTTATTTCTCTTAATTGATTGTACATTCTGGTAATTATTTATATGTCATATATATATATATATATGTTACTAATTGCGGCGGCTATAAATGAAATTGGAGAACATTGGGTGGCCGGCATTTTTGCTCTTTTTCATTCAATACAGGCGGGAAAAGTTACATTTAATCTAACTCTATTCGAAATCGTGCACGGCGTATACATTCTGTTCCAACTGAGTTGTGCACAATGCTACACTTAATGCATTTCTATATACGTTTCTATTAAGCAATTGAAAAGCACCCAATGTGTCTTTTAGCGCCAACAAGTATTTTTTTTTCTTGATATATTCGGAGACAACTGAGCATCATTCGGAATTTTATGTGTAAAAATGTTAAGTAAAAAAATTTCTTTTTCTTCTTTATATGGCACTTTATATGGCACTTTTGAAGGAATGTCATGTACGCGTTCTACGACGCGCATATAGACATCCGCAAATGCGGCGCGTATCAAGTCGCGAAGTTATTGCTCTTGCTTATACATTATTCAACGCTCGCGACTCAGTTTCCGATTTGATTGCGTATGACAAGTTTCTGGAAGAGTGGCGTTCGATCGAGAAACAACCGGACGTTCTAGTGTTAAACAAACGCAGATAGAAATCTTTCTATGGAAAGGCACCGAGAGGAGCGAGGGGTAGTTAAAGGCCAGGATTAAAATCTGCTGACTTGGTAGAACCGGAAGATTTAAGAAAAAACAGGGGAGAGAGAGAGAGAGAGAGGAAATAATAAGACATTTCTCTCCGACATTTAGATCGAGGACTCACGACAACGCACACATATTTTACGCACACGAGAACAGAGGGTGAATATGGGCGGGAGGAAGAGAGAGAAGGAAAAATTAACGTAAGCAGCACACAATGAAAGACGCGTACACGTACACGTATATCGATTATGCTATGCGCGCACAACATTCAACACGATCACACATTATAACTTGTATAAAGAAATCGCCGTTAGCATAACTACTACCTTCGCAGGGAGATTGTGTAAAGAACATTTTACATGCACATTTTCACACGCACCATTCATATTCTCCCCGCGGCATTAGTATCCCTCTTTTACGTCTCTGCGCTCTTCGCTATTATCACCAAATGAAAATAATCGACGGAAGAAGGGAGGGAATTATTGAGTTTCGAAGAAACGATCGTGATCGGAAAAGAAGAGAAATCGTACGCTTCCTCGAAGAAAATAGTTTCACGTTATTTTTCTTATATAATTTTGCATATCTAAAAATTTTGTATATCCAAAAATATCCATCGGATATTCATACGAGGTGATATATCTGCGAAAGTTAGTACCGGTACAAAGAAATATTTGCTTCAGGCGCAGCAATACAAGAAAGAGCGGAAAAAGGGAGAATTTGAGAAAATTGCCTTGAGGAAGGTCGTACCTCTTGGGAGTCGCACCACCTTGCACATCTTCTCATCCATCCTTTAAGACTGAACGATTCTTCATATGTATTCGTGTGACTTCTAAAAGAGACGTGACAAGCGTACACGATTCTCGTTTCTTAAGAAAAAAGAGGAAAAAATGGGGAAAAGACGAGAGAAAATTGCTTCATGACGATAATGTACATGAGACATAAGTAAATTGCATGAGGAACGTTACGCGTGAACGAGATAGAGGGATTGGACGACAGAAAATGATGAGAATCTGCATTTTTTAAATATAAATCAACATGGATGTTTTTCGTCGCGCGAGTTTGACGCTTCGGCGTAAGAGCCGAGTGTGTGCAGCCGAGAGTTTTGCCTTCGCGAGGAGAATTAGTTTTTCTCTCGCAGGGGAGACGTACGTTTGAAAGTTACTCGCAGAAAGTAAAACTCCCGAGAGTGAATTTTAGGGCTGAAAAATGGACAGGAAAGGGCGCGGGACGGAGAATAGGGATATTATCGATGCGTAATCGATAAAAAAGATGAAAAAAAAAAGAAAAAAGACATAATAACGATTGATTCTAACTCTATCTCTATATTCTTCTACCAATTATATTTTTCTAATTATATTTGTACGTTGACTCGTAAGCTAATCGACCAAGCGATGTTTCGTGCTTGTGGTAGAACGAGGACGAGGAGGAGATAAAACGCGACAAAATTTAAAAAAAAAGAAAAAGAGAGGAAAGTCATGGGAAACGGAAGAGGAAGATAGAGACACGTTTTTGGGTTAAAAGGGAGAGCGGGATGAAAGCAACGAGGCTCGCGTTGCACTTCGTGATTACTACAATAAACTGCGTCGCTCGTTTTCACGTAGACGATTCGGTCTATCTTTTTTATTCCCGACGATCAGCCTTTATTCGTACTGCTGTGGTCTACAAGAATACACGCGATAACACTCGCGAGATTTTGAATCGATGTAATTTCGGTAAGTTCGGATCGTGGCGTTTCACAGAAAAGACGAAAACAACCCCTACGTTCGTTCGTCGAAGTAGAAATGACGAAGACGAGGCGTAATCTTCTTCTCCTAGTCACGATATTTAAGAAATTGAATTGTTGAAATTATACACTGAGAATTTCATTTGGTTGAATCAACTAATCTCTTGTTTGGGTATGGGCAAACAAATTCTTGATTGATGCAATAAAATTCTAACATTTTACTTATGTTATCGGAAAGAAGTAAAATTATAATACAATTACAGCTTTTTGCTTCAATTAAATTATTTTATTGCATCATTCTAGAATTTGTTTGCCCATATTCAAATAAAAGATTAGTTGATTCAACCAAATGGGATTCTTAATGTACCGATTTCCAATCTCGTGCACATACTACTTTGGGTCGCGTTTCAAGAAAAATCACAGTGGCTGCGTTCAGCAGAGAAAGCAGCTTTCCACCTGTTGTAAAGTTCTTTAATACGATTGATCTCGCTTTTTTTTCCTCTCTGGTTTTAAATGTATAAACCAATCACATATAAAAGAATTTTACAACAGTTGTAAAACTGCTTTCTCTACTGAATGTAGCCATTGTCGCAATCGCGGGCAGAGCTGAGTTTGCTTTGACGTTGAAAATATAAGGACAATCGGTTACTCTTTTTACAAAATCCTTCGTCTGTAAAATAGAAAAATAAAAAGAAAAAAATTACCGTTCGAAAATGAAGCTAATTGCGCTTTGTTAATCGAGATTCGCTCAGAAATCTCCAAGAAAGACAGGTTCATCGAGAACTCACAAAGACGACTTTTTTTTAGCTTTGTACTGTTCATCTATTAGCTCGAATAAGCGGAATGGAAAAATTTGCGTGGCGTTTAAGATTCCCTCTTCTTGCTGATCGAGTTGTAATGTACTATATTCCTTTTCGTTCGCTCAGCTCTGCGCAAAAATTTGGACGTAGTTAAAACTCTAAAACTATGTATGCACAAAACCGTATCAGATCGAATTAATTAAGGCCGATTTATTACGCTCGTACGCCGCGCCTGGTCCCCGACGATCTTTCGATTGAAAAGAATGAAAGAAATAAAAAGAGAAAAAGGTACATCTGCTCGATCTGACTCGGTATGGATATCGACTCTACCGAAATAATTTATCGCGATTTCCACAAAAGCGCTATTCGGAATTTTTCGTATAGTACGACGAAGAAATTCTTTCACTAAGACTAAAGCAATCTATTAGAATTTATTTTTATACTGCAAAAGAGTCCTCGTTCGATGCGAAATATGCATTATCGCATTTGTACGAATGTCAAGTGGATCATTAAGCTCTATCAGATTTTCCTAAGGACCTTCCGCGTCAAATGAGGTCAATCCGATTGGGGGGATGACGGTGAACTAATATTAACTATCAAGCTGCTACAATAATATTATAATAACTAATAAATTCTTACTAACAATATTATAGTGCGACCACGGTTTCCGCCGAGCAGTATTTACGGCGATTAACGATCCCCGTGGCTTTCATCGACGCGTTTAAGATGATGTTTGCTCTTATTAAATCAAAAAATAAACAAGTCTCTCTCTGCGAATCCACAAAAAGTTCGTATTTTTGTGTATAATGGAGCGAGATGGTGCACACCGACGCGTTCTCCACAGAGCCATGGCACTTGTTACGACTAATTTCGCACGAGACACGTACGCGATTCGTGAGGGGTTGATAAGAAGGGGAGAAAGGGTAGGCGCAGTGGCTCGAGATCGCGTGGAAAATAAAATAGGAGGAGAGCGACGTCGGGCCCCGGAGCGCGGCACTCTTTCTTCGAGCGGGCGCATCAGACACACAAAAGAGAAATTATTAATCAATGTGCAAAATAATAAACTCGAAGTTCAGTCTCGAATGGCGTGGACAATTCTTTTATATCGCGTTTATCTGGCGTTGTTAAGTCTTAGCGTTAATGATCGGCCAAAGGAATGCACACACACCAACACATACGTGCGCACGCATGCGCGCGCACACACACAAACACACACACACCAAAAGTACACGATAAATACGTGCGATATTTTAGCACAGTTGGAAACAAACGAACATACACAGAGGGACTATTCATTTTCTCACCGCTCCTTCCGGGTGTAGAATAATGGGAGTTAAAAAGATATTGGTTTTTCATTCGCCATCGGTGATCGACCATTCGTACATTCCACACATCAATCGGTCGACAATGAAAGCCGTCGATGTCTTGCACACAATGTACGTAACGATACAACTTACCTTTACAATACAAACACACGTACACACTACACGTACGGATCTCGCGAGAAATCCGCGAATTTGTACGAATAATATCTACATAATTAATTGCGTACGTATATACATATTTAATCACGAACACGCGGTACACGAGTATCTATACGTACACGTTTGTAATATGTATATACATGTATTATCAAAAGAAGTGAAGTAGAACGTAAGCTGATCGCGGCTACTTCGAGAAATCAAATTTCATGCGTGTACGCGCGGATGATGTTGTGAGAACATGTGAGGAACTGTGAGAATGAGAGCGAGAGAGCGGACGGGTAGAGGGGAAGAAAAAATGATGGAGATAAGTAAATAATAATAATTGACGATGACTGTAAAACGGTTAAACAAGCGCCGCGGGGGGCGCGGGGTATGCGCGCGTGGTCGATATTCTTGGATGTTTCGCGCGTGAAGAAACGAGAATAGGAATCGAGTACAGCGTTTATCGGAGTGTTTGTGATAGGCGAGCGCAAATGCAATTTTCTGCAGTGATAATTATGTATAAATACCGCGGTGCAATTAATCATAATGCGCTAAAGTTACAAAATTTACGAATAGTCACGAAAATTGAAAAATGCATCCAATTCTCTATAATTTTTATTTTGTAACTGTATTTTTTGACATTTATAAAATATTTTTTAACAAATTGAAGGAAATGCTGAAATGTAATTTCAAAAGAGTCTATGAATCTGCGAAAACATTTTAACAAAACAATTTTGATATGAATTTGGACAGATGAAAATAAATCTACTTAAATAAGAGAAATCCTATATTTGGTCAAAGCAAATCCTTAAATATTATACTTCCGTGTGAATTTATATACATATCTGAGTCTACAAACCGCGCGCTGAAATCCTTTCCGGTCTTAAAACGCAATTATAAGCAAAACTAGAGTAGTAATATCACTTATTAAATTAATAAACAATTTAATAATTTTTGTTGCTAATAAACATTTCTAAAAGAATATGAATAATTTGATGTTAATAAGAAATCTGCGAATAATTTATTAGATACAAAAAATATTGCCTCAATTTACCACACATAAATATAGGATTTTTCTTATTTGATTTTAACAAAAATTACGACTTCGTGCAAAGATGCAATATATATTTCATGCATCGCTTTTATGCGTTATATGAAGTAACGAGAAAACTATTACTCCTTTTTTACTGGAAGATAGATACAAGACGATATCGCATTTACCCCGTCACAATCACTCCGATAAAACTTGCGACGATAACGTCGGTGCTCCTTCGGCAAGCTTCCTGTTTGATAACGTCGCGAAGGGGGAACGACACTACGAACAGTATTCGTGATAATTTGGTGATTACACCGGCTTTTAAATCGTGAAGCGGCGTTACGTCTCGTTCTGCATAATCGATATGAAAAACGGCTGTAAATCTGTATAAAGGGTTTTCCAGTTGAAATAATTATTTTATTAACTTGGTCGTTTGTACGTGTGCGGTTTTTGCGGTGTAATGAAGAGAGAGTATATATTCGGGGGCGATATATATATGTATACGTGTACGTGCGCGCTTAGAATTGGCTCAATTCTTTCTCAATCGCGAGAAGATCGACCGCCCTCAAATGTATTTTTATTACTAACGATGTTAGACGTATACCTGAGAGAAAGAAAGAAAGAAAGAAAGAGTGAGAGCTAGAAAAAGAAAAAGAAAATGGAAACCTATAAATAT